CGCCATGTCATGCTTGTTGACCTCGAGCCGCACTTGGTTGGCGAGGACCTTGATTTTTTCTTCGAGCGAGATGACCTCGGCGTTGGCCGCGTTGTACTTGCTAAGCATTGCACCCTTCATCGAGTCCGAGCCAATGTGCGGCAGCGTGTCCGGGTCGCTCATGGATGACGTAGCGTCGGCGCCGGGCATCGCCAGTGACGTCAATGGCATTGGCTGGACCGCGGGTGCTGGCTGGGCCACGGTTGCTGGTTGGACTACCGGTGCTAGCTGGGTCCCCGGTGCATGTTGGGTCACCGGTGCATGTTGGGTCACCGGTGCTGGTGGCGGCTGGACCATGCGTGCTGGCGGAGGGACGACGGGTGCTGCAGGCGTTGCGATCGGCTCTTTCTTCTCGACCTTGACGGGTAGGTACTTCTCAGTGTCGCGTTGAATGGCGACGACAAAGTCGCGCGGCCAGTCGATGACCGCGAGGCACAAGCCGCGTGCACCTAGTCAGGCATCCATGGCTCGAGTGCTCATGCATGCTACTCCAGTAGACATACCGTTCATAGGCACCAGCGCGTGCGGCAAGCTCGAGCTGCATTCGCTCGCAATGCAGTTCATGCACACGTGCTTCATACACACCTCGCAGTAGAGCTCGAGCTTGAGCGCGTGGCAGACGTCGCAGGCTACGACGCTTGACGCTTGACCCGCAAGATACTGTGCACAGATGACGTACCTCTGCTGTGAACGACGGCCAGTGGTTCGCCGTTGCGGTGCTTCTTGCTGTGCACTTTGCGCTCGCACTTGGCGCAGTAGTAGTCGCCGCAGGCCAAGCACTTGAGCGTCGCGAACTTGCTGCACACGCTGCAGAGGAAATCGCCATACTTGCTGGCTACGATTGCATCGTTGCATCGACAGACCAAGTGGATGCATGGACGTACACAGGAGCGCTTCCTGCACGGCGCGGGCTTCGGCGGACGGCAGCATTGCCTCGCCATGCCGGCTCATAACGGCGATCGAATTGGCCAAACTATGTCGCAATTAAGTGAAATCATACCTGTTAAGTGCGATCTTGGCATCGGACTTTACAGAAGCAAACAACTTGGTGAAAATATCGTCGAGGGCTTTCGACATCGATGCACCCGACCAATGCGCCCTTGTCACAGACAGCTCCGAATAGAAGACTGCAGTTGACCTCGGAGCTACAGTGTTATGACACTGCGCAGTAGGTGCTCCCCTGTATTATGTGCTTCTGCCTTGAATTTTTACATCTTGACCTTTTGGTGTGTCGGCTCATTTCTAGGGCGTGCTACATAGCTCGGTGAGAGGAGCTCGTTGAGGGGTGAGCGACTCCGCACGATGGATAGGCAGAGTCCTTCTTTCTTGCGTTGAAACAGAGTATTTTCGTACCATTGGTGGGAAAGGCCGAAGCCTCGGCGCCCCTTCGTCATGCGCACAAAGAAAGATCTTATTTTCGATATTCCTCGATGGCCGACGCTCCGCAGTCGACGCCGGCGCCGCCGACAAAGGAAGCTGGCACGTTCAACTGGAACGAGATTCTTCGCGTCCAGAACCTCATCGAGCGGTGTCTCCAGCAGTGCATGTCCCAGGTAGTACGACTCCTCGACATCGCCTGCGATCTCTGACGTTTGCACTTAGACCGACATCATTTCGACGCTTCAGGCAATGGCAGCGTCGACGATGGAAAAAAAGCTCACCGCACTCTGTAGACGCAAGCCAACGTCGACCCGACGTTTACGCGCACCGTGTGGCAAAAGCTCGAGGAGCAGAACCCGTCCTTCTTTCACGCGTACACGGCGCATTTGCAGCTGAAAGAGCAGATCTTAGCGTTCAACTACCTCGTACGACCCTCCTTGCAAGGATGACAGGTCGAGTAGTGACTTGCATGTCTTAGGTCGCCCAGCAGCGCGAGATGACGGAGAAGGGCATTATGAAATCGTCGTCGTCGTGTCCTGGCCACAACAACAACCAGCGTAGCAACCAGTACCTCCACGAGGACCCGCGCAAGACGGATGTGTTCCCCGGGTTTAAGCGCGAGCCGCTGCTTTCGCCGATCAAAACCGACCTCGACACGTGCTCGTTCTTTACTTAATCTAACGCGATGCCGTCGTCCTCCACGTCACATCCTCTTCCTCCGTGGCGCATGGCTATTGATACGCGCTCATCGATCAAACCAGGGTACGAATAAGATGCTAGTCCGGAAGGTCGGTCGTGCTTGCAGTCGGAACCATGAGGTATGTACTTAGACTTGATTATTTGTGGATATGTATTACACGGGATACATCATCCCTCGTCGTCGCCTTCTGCAATCGCCGCGTCCAAAGGCACGTGGTGCTCGAGCTTGAGGATGTCGGGCGCGAGCTTGTTACCGCTGAGCGTGAGTCGTCGGAGGCCGGGCGCCTTCTCGTACGGGTTGAACGGCAGCGTCTCAATGTTGTTGTTTGCAAGCAAGAGGTGCTTGAGCTTCGGAAGGTCGCCAATGCGCTTGGCGACCTTGGTGAGTTTGTTGTGTTCCATGTTGATGACTTCCATCTTGGTGCAGCGACCGAGCGACGCGTGGAGCTTTGTGATCGCATTGTCTTGCAAGTAGATCTTGCGCAGCGCGACGAGACCGCCGAGCCCTTTCGGCAGCGTCTCGAGGCAGTTGCCTGCAAATCGCTGCGTCATCTTCCTCCTCGTCGTTGTAGGCCATCATTGTACCTTCCAGGTGCAGAATCTCGAGCTTTGTGAGCTGCACGAACGATTTCGGCAGGCCCTTGAGCCGATTGCCCGGCATGTCGAGCTCTCGGAGATGCACGAGCTGGCCGATCCCGTCCGGGAGACTTTCAATCTGGTTGTTGTCCAAGTAGAGCTCTTCCAGGGACGTTAGAGCGAGCAGCGACAGCGGCACCGACTACACCGTGTCATGATGACCACTTGGTACATGCCAAGGCGTACCGTAAGGCAGTTGCGGTGCAGGCAAAGGCCCTTGAGCTGCGAGAGCGTTCGCATGGCGTCTGGAATGCCTTCGGTCGT